TTTTTCTGTACTGATATACTGATTGAACATGTTATAGGGATTTGACTCGGAATAGTCCATTGGACTCATGTTGTTGTAAAACCTGAGATAGTCTGAAAGTATAACAGCACGGGATGTCGACTGCCGAAAACGACGGAACATTTCGTTACCTGTCCTATTACACTTTATCGCTATTAGATAGTATCGATGTGTGCTTTCTGATTTACTCCAATCACCTATAGCCCGCCGTGCTATACGGTTGGGAGCGATACGTGGACGTGTGCGCGCGTCGCTCGCTCGCTCGGTCATTCACCCAGCATTTCCTGGTTAGCTTCGGATGCTCTCGTTTCTCTCCGACGGACTAATGCATTGTGCCGTTCACACTTCGGCGACCAGAACACACGCCGACCTATCATTCGTCTGCGGTTTGTAAACGCTTCACGCGCGGGAATTGACATCTGTGCGATGCCTATCGCTCGTAAACCATGTTCTCCCTGGCGGGATGCGTTCTCGGAGAAAAGGTATGCATCACATACAGCGCGCTGCTTGCGTGGTTCTAGTTTGTCATTTGTAACGCCAGATGACGCGCCAGTCAGTTATTGGCGTTCGTTGATCTCGATCATATATAGATAGCCTATATCGAACATATCTAATTTCTATATTCAAATAGAAAATGCTATATTCAATATTCTAAATTCAATATTCATTCCTGATTCTATATAGATAATTTCATATCCATATAGTAATCGTTGGCAGATTAAAGGCGGTCGTATTATGGAGTCATATTGACGTTGTCAGATCTTTCCAGATACTCTAGACTTCTGTTTCCTCAGATTATCAACAAGTGGGCTTTGTCCGCAGCAAAAATGGAAAATGTGAGAAGAGAATTCGATCAGGACATTATACGGGAACCACGCCGTGCTTTCACCAACAATTTCGCACTAACGCAAATCCGCGTCCCTATCAAGTGTGCTATTTATTGTATGACGTGGACGCAATATTAGCGCGTAATCCACATAGCTCATCCGTGGCTACTTAATTTAACTTTGACGTGAAGACTAAACCAAACGGACCGCATGAATAATCGTCAACATATTTAATGGCGTCATAATATTAAAGCGTACAAAGGCTTTCATAATCTGCGCAGCACATTGCACCGGGTGCCATAATCTGGGCGCTCTATCGTTAACCTTAAAATGGGCTGTATGATTATATAAGTTTACGGCTTGCAGATTTTACTCGTGCTTCAATAGGCGTGTACGGTAATAGTGAGCAACGAACCACGGAGATTTTTTTGCGATGTTTTATTGTTGCGAACGAAAATTCTACGCTACACTTCCTTATCACTATACGTGCTCATATGTTCATCCGAGAAATCCATGCCAATATCTGCATATTTGAGCACACGGTCACAGTCTGTGAGATAGGCCTACCTATAGTTGTGTGTAGTTAAGAAGTTAACGTCTCTTTTACTCACTCACCCAGAGACACTGGGCCCGTTGACAGAAATGAAAATTAGACCTAACATTAACTTTCTATAGTGTAATAGAGTAACATAATGGAGCTCTATACACTACATATGAGAAACTCGCAACTTTACCATGCTTCTGTCAACGTCTATGAGAAATAGGTAATATTAAAACCAGTGTTAAACTGGACTTTAATCCGCAAATTTACGAAAATTTGGAAAAAGCATATCTCCCAATACCGACAACCCTCGGGACCGTCCATTTCGTTCGGTTTTATGTAAAGTTCGGTTTATAGAAGTGAAGGCATCTGGAAATTTTTAAACTTTACTGGAACATTTCTCCAGTTATCCAATATATTCATTATCTGAAAATTTTTAAGTTTATCTGAACATTTTTGCAGATGACGTTGAGACTTCGTCCGGTTTAACGCGCGATTCGGTTTTGAGGGCGTTTGGAATTTGGTATTATATCCACTGTATATAGAAATACGCTACCACACTGTATTTGAATACATCTAGGCCCACCATGCCTCCATATTCTACACATAGAAGTTGGTAAGACACGTCAGTCTGTACCAAACACCGACAATAGCCATGGTCCGATGAACCGCGCGTGCCCAGAGGCTATAGACGAGGACGTTGGCAAGATAATGCTAGAGAGCAGTGACGAGGAGTATGTTCTTACGGCATACCTTGAGCTGGGGCAGCTAACCGATGAAACCTCCCTCCGGGAGAGGTGTTGTAGCATCAGTCAAATTACACAGCAAATAGAAGGAACAGGTTTAGAAATTAGCACGCGCGCCTACTGTATGAGAAGCAGAGTAATATTTTGACTGCGAAGCTGGCAGCCGATCCACCTGTCTCGCACGGTGTTTGTGCGTCATTGAAATTAATGGATGTAAATGTAGTTTCCACGCCCCCCCCCCGCTTATCGGTGTAGGCAATTGAACAATTCCGGTTGTGAAATTTCATTGTGAATTCGGTTATGCATTAGCTATAAATTGCGCGAACATTCATGCGTTTTATATTTTTATTGTCATCTATTAATATTTAAATGTCTGCTGTTTAGAATATTTGGTGGCAAAGAAAATAATTTCTACTGATTAGAGTATATAAGATTTGTGATTTTGGTTTTCCCGCCCCACATACTAGACCCTAGTAGACCTACCAAGCTTCACACAACACACCACCACCTGGTCTCACCCCCCACACAACACCTACCGAACTTCCCAGCACACCACCACCCGGTCTCACCCCCACACAACACCTACCGAACTTCCCAGCACACCACCACCTGGTCTCACCCCCACACAACACCTACCAACCTTCACAGCACACCACCACCTGGTCTCACCCCCACACAACACCTACCAACCTTCACAGCACACCACCACCTGGTCTCACCCCACACAACACCTACCAAACTTTCCAGCACACCACCACCTGGTCTCACCCCCCACACAACACCTACCAAACTTCCCAGCACACCACCACCCGGTCTCACCCCCCACACAACACCTACCAACCTTCACAGCACACCACCACCCGGTCTCATCCCCACACAACACCTACCAAACTTCACAGCACACGACCACTTGCTCTCACCCCACACAACACCTACCAAACTTCCCAGCTCACCACCACTTGGTCTCACTCCCACACAGCACCTACCAAACTTCCCAGCACACCACCACCTGGTCTCATCCCCACACAACACCTACCAACCTTCACAGCACACCACCACTTGCTCACCCCCCACACAACACCTACCAAACTTCCCAGCTCACCACCACTTGCTCTCACCCCACACAACACCTACCAAACATCCCAGCACACCACCACTTAGTCTCACCCCCCACACAACACCTACCAAACTTCACAACACAACACCTACTCTCACTTCATACAACACATACCAAACTTCGCCACAACACCAACACTCTAACGCCCCTCACCCCAGGACACGAGCCGGTTTGTCCCCCGGGGGCGCCCGCCCGGGGGGGCCCAGCACCGAGCGTCCTCACCTCCACTCCACGCAATTAGCATGCGAACCCGCTCACATCCCGTCCTAAGCCCTCCCCATATTCCACTCTACCCCCACTCCCCCTACAGGCAGCTGCATGACCACCCATCCACACCACCAACTCTAACAAAACCTCCACTCACCCCATGTTCAGACTTAATATTGTCCAAAATACGTGGCGATCACACGTCCGCAATACTGCACTACATACCCACCAACAGAATTGGGTCGAATCGCGTGTTCATTCTGTTATAAAAGAAACATTTCCATGTTCTGCCATCGGTTCTTTCCGTGTCCAGCGCGCCCCGTGTCGTTATGACACAGACAACGACTGCATACAGGTGCACTCTAGGGACAAATCCCACGTATTGCTTGAAAGACCTACTGCCGGGGGGCAATTTGTAGTAAACCGTAATTCATGTACGCCACCTAATATAGCTTTGATTGATACACCTGCTGGTCAATCAGTCTTCAACCGGCCTCAGTCTTCCGACTACAGTTACACTCGGAACACGAAGCCGTAGCTTCAAGCATAAAAATGTGATATGTATATAATATATAATTTCTATGGCTTGAGTAATATATATATATATAGAGGTGGGATATAGATATGTATACAATATATATAGCTATTATGATTGACGGAAGCGAGAGAGAAGAGCCTAAATTGTGTATTATTCCTATGAATTCAGGAAGTCAGATCACTGATTGTGGTATCCGTTACTGGTGGCGGAGGAGAGAGATAAGGAGTGTGGAACCAACTAACCCATTAAGGAAATGAATATAGCATTAAACTGTAGGCGTACCTATAAGTGGTGAGTGCGGTGTTGAGAGCACAAGGTTTCTGCTATGTAGAGAGCGCGCTAATGATAGGGCTTAAGCTGACCGGAAGCTCGAGGTATGACTCCTGTTCAACCTGACATTTAACATGGCGCAGTGGTCCCGGAAGCTTATACTCATTATACTTGCTGCGACAGTGCAAGTAGTTGCGAGCAGAGCGAGCTGGCTTTTGAAGCGGTAGATTTTAACTAATGAACTACTGTACTAGTCACGTAAGGAAAAAAAAATTATAATGTCAAGACTTTGACCTCTGCCCTGACAGCTGCTCTAATGAAAATAATGAATTACTCATAAAATGCCTGTTTAAAACGACCAATGTTTTCATAAACGGGTGTCATGAATTTCTGATCGAACCATGACTAAATTATTATATTTGTAAAAAGGAACCCATGCGTCAAATTAGAAAATAATTATGCGATTAAAATGAAAGGTCTTATGCTAAATAGCCTTCATTGAATTACGTAATGCAATGAACACCGTAGCAAATTATAGCTATTTAGTCTGTTCCTCATCACATAATAAACTATACACACAACTATGTGGTGAGCATATATATATATATATATATATATATATATATATATATATATATAGTATAATATATATATATATATATATATTCTACGAAATATATATTAATAGATAATCTACATAAAGCGTAATAGTAATAACATATTTTTATTTTTACAGGGCTGCAGCAGTCAGCACAGGTCTCTATCCTGTTGCTAGGGACTCCGTATATACGCCACGAAGGCGAGGACCTGGGGGAGCGATACGCCCTCCTAGTGCTGCTACTGCGCGGTGAAGAATGCCAACAACCGCGACATCGCGATTCTCGGCCGGTGCTGCCATCTGACGCGTAACAACCCGAGATAAAACCACCTACTCACCACTCACTCCGCAACGATGGGCAACAACAACTCCTACTACCGCAAGAGCTACATCGCTCAGGACTTCTCGCAGCCGCCCTACATGCCGTCGCGCGCCAAGCTGCACCGCTCGACGTCCGAGTACCGCGGTCGCGCGTCGTCGACGCCGCCGCTGCAGCGCACGGGCCTACACGAACAGCGGCGCTACCTGGTGCCCGAGAACAAGGTGATGCACGAGAACCCGGCGTTCGGCATCGACCAACTCAAAAGCAGCGGGAAGCTTGAGGCGCTGCGCAGCGGCGGCACTCTGCGAGACTTCAAGCAGCGGCCGGCGTCGGCAGCGGCGACGGCGACGGTGGACGACGTCGACGAGTGCGTCGACGAGCTCATACAGAAGCTGAATCACCGTTCTCGTCTGCTCGTCAAGAGCGAGTGGGCGATGAAAAGGAGCAACTCGGTCGGCGACCTCGTTGAGTCGACGACCAGCCGCAGTCTGTCGGACGGAGAACTCGAGGACATGCTGTCATCGCAGTGCAGCGCTCTCGATGACTTCCACCTCGGCGAAAAACGCGGCGACGGCGGAGGAATCGGACTCGGCGCCGGTAACGGACTACGCAAGTCGAGGAAGAAGTCGCGAGCGCCGCCGCCTCCGCCGGCGACGTCGTCGTCGCCGCCGCCCGGGAGACGGTTCTCCGACGACGCGAACAATAACGAGCAGAAGAAGGCGAAGAAGAAGGGCAAGAAGTCTCCCGCACCGCCGCCGCCGCGGATAGCAGCCGATGACGCCGAGGTCACGCAGGGGTCGCTCGCTAAGTCGCAGAGCTTCCAGAGCATGGTGTCGATCCGGACTGCCGACATCGAGGAGACGGAGAAGCTGATGCACATCCGCAAGCAGGAGCAGATCGCTCACGGCATCGATAAGGAGAGGACGAACGAGGACATCATCCGCCGATCGGCCGAAATCGAAAGAGACCTGCTAAAGAGGAACAGGCGGAAGTCGGATCCGCTGGGGAGACTGGAGAAGGTGACGTCGTCGCAGGAGCGCCGGCCGGCGCAGCGCAGCGACTCGATCCTAGACGTGCTGGCAAATCTGAAAAATCGGAAGAACAATCGCAGCAAGTCGGCCGACAACCGCCTGGAGGAGGACGACCCCACGAAGGGCTTCGTGTTGCGACGCTACACTGGTTCGCACGAGAGCTTGTCGTCGCCGCGCGTCGCCCCGCGGAACGGCGCGCAGAACGGCAGTGCCGACAGCCTCGAAAACGTAGACAACGTCGATTTCTCCGACATGCACATGTCGGTGACGACGAAGCTTACCGAAAAGATCCTGCAGCATCTCAAGCGCGGCGACTACAAGATCCGCGACGTCAAGTCCGGCGACAACGGCATGATGTTCACGATCGCCGACTCCACGGGGAAGATGCTGGCGGGCAGTTCGCACGCCGACGTCGCCGATGCGGGGACGAACGACGATTGCGCGTCGGCGTCGTACGACGACAGAAACACGGGCTTCACGCTGCAGCCGGTCATGTCCGAGCACAGCTTCAACAGCGAACGCACGTCGGAGTGGGTGCGCCAGGCGGCGCAGTACGGCGACAACTCCTCGTGCAGGGACACCAAGGACGCCATGCTCGACCTCTCGTCCGAGTCCGACTGGGACGATCCGGTTTACGCGAGCCGAGACGACGTCGCGCACAGGAAGTCGAGTCCGGGCACCGAGTGCTCGGACATGCTCACGGGCAGTGCGTCGTCGTTCGCGTGGAACGTCAAGCCGAACGGCTACAACAGTAAGCCGCGATGCCTGCCCGCTGGTACAGCGCTGTCCGCGTACGTCGCTGCGTCGCTACCAAAGGACTGCGCAGCACCGAGCAGCAGCCGCAACCCGCACATCCTCGAATCGAAGATCAAGCTGCACGTTCGGCCGACGCTGCCGAAGAAGGAGTGGGAGCCGGATTACGCGTTCGATCCCGAGCTGGCGTGGGAGCGAGTCAAGCCGGGCGTGTCAACGGAGAGCGACGAACAGCAGCAGCAGCGGGACGCGGGCGACGTGCGCGAGGACAGCATCGAGAAGAAACTGGTGCCCGTGCTGCCGCGCAAGACGCAGAAGATGCTCGACATGCTACACGTGTCCGAAGACGACGGCTACAACTCGCAGCACAGCCCCGCCTCGTCCGACCAGCAGAACGCCGAGAGCGCCGGCAGGGGGCAGCACGGCGGCTGGACGCCCGAGATGGATCTCAACGGCGAGCTGGACGACGCGCCGACGGTGAAAGGGGAATCGAATTCCGCCGATAGAGCGCAAGTGAAGCCCGTGCTGACACTGCAGAACATGTTCAGCAGGTCGATCACGAAGAGGGACGACTGCCCGCCTTCTCCCGACAGAACCTCGCCTGCTTCGATGTCCCTACCAATCTCTCCGATGTCTACCACGTCTCCGTCGTCTTCCTCGATCAACGACAACCTATGTACCGGCGAATATCAGCAACGATGCAGCCCTGATGCCGAATGCAACACCACCGCCGTCGCAAACAACAACAATAACAACAGCAGTAACAACAACAACAGCGGCGGCGGAGGTGCGAACAGGATGAACAAGATATACAGTTTCAAGAACATACAGAAGTCCGTCAAGGACGCTCTCGGCAATAATCGCAAGACGAGGAAGAGCGAGGAGACGATGGCGCTAGAGTACGAGCCGAGCTCAAACTGGATCATGCGTCAGACGTCGCCGTCCGACATGGACAGCGACCGTGCCGACACGCAGGAACGCATCCGCACCGCAGCGCCGACGACGGCGTCGGACAGCTTCCTCCGTCGCATTCCGGAGATAAACGCCGCCGGCTTGTCGCAGGACGCCCGGTCTCCCGCTGGCAATAAGCCAAAAAAGTTCGGTCACGCCGGCGGTCACCAGATCTACCTCCCGCCGTGCGAAGTCGCAAAGATTATGCCCGCAAGGAAGACGACAGTCGCGCATTTAGAGATTGCGTCCGGCATCGCGGCGGAAGAAGAAATCGCAGAACGAGAAAGACAGAGAGAAGAGGAGAAGAAAGAGCAGGAGCACGCGGAGAAGGAGCTCAGAAGTCATCACGATCAGGACAAGCTCATTATGGAGCGTCACCTCTTCAAAGTTCCCGAATCCGGCGACGTCACCTCCCGTCCGTCCCTCGCCACGCAGACGCCGCCGCAGTCCTACGAAAACTCTGACGTCATCGTGCAAAAACTCGCTAGCCGTCCTGCAAAAGACAAATCGCCCCCGACGCGAAACGGCGTCGTCGCGGCGGCGTCGGCGAGTAGCGCACGCGCGGAGAATTCACGGCCCGCCAAGGATCTCCTGTACGAGAACTCTGGCATGCAGCTGGCTGCGATATGCATCAGCGACCTGAAGAACCAAACGCGGACGCAGCAGCAGCACAGCCCGTCGCCGCCGCCGCCCCTCCCCGTCAAGCAGAAGAGCTCGCGGGAGAGAGAGGGACTGAGCAGCCGCGTGCAGGCGCCACCTGACGGCGGCAATGGCGCCGACGTCGACGTCGTTCTCGGCACGAGGGTTCAAACGCCCGATCAGCGGGAGAAGAGCATCGAAGCGTGGATCCGGAAACAGCAGCTGTCCGTCGGCGTGTCGGAGTCAGACGGGCGACCCGCCGCCACGGCAGGCGCAGCCGTCACTCGGCCGAGCAATGGGAGACCAACTACGAAATCGGAGAACGCAAGCGATGGCGACCGCCGCGACGTCATAGTCGATCGCAGCGCCGCCGCCGCCGCCGCCGTACCGCGAGATCAGTTCTTCTTCGGAATGGAAAGCGAGCAGAAGCGAAAAGCCGACGGTGGATCGCTGGTGGAGGCACGCGTAGATGTGCACCGCACCGCATCGGGCAACAACGCTACCGAATCGAAAGCAAGGCCGCTGTCCGATTCGGCGCAGGCACAACGGGAGCCTCGCTCGCCGCAGAGAGGGCGGACATCGAACGCCGCACGCTCGTACAGCCAGCACGACGATCCTCCCTCCTCCGCCGCGCACGGTCGACCTCAGTACCGACAGAATCAAAACGAGGACAGAGTCCGGAGACCGCCGTTCGAGCAGCGGCAGAGGAGAAGCGGTTACGAGGATCAAAAGCCTGCGTCTGGTAAGTACCGAGATTCGAAAAGACTTATTCGAAATTCGAATCTCGAATTTTCGAGAATAGCCTAACGAATGTGAATTCGTACATTCAAATTCGTCAGCGGACGAGTGAACGCTAGCGTAACTGGTCGTAAAACCTGGGTAAAACCTTAGATTTCGCGTTTCGCGTTTCCAGTTTCGGATTTAGAAGAAGTCTTTTCTGGGCTTTCACAGGTCGGGCTGGATGCTCGGGCTTGGGTGGACAGCGTGTTCAACGTACGCAGCATGTGAACGGTGTGCGTCACGAGGGCCACGCATACGAACGATTCTCCAAGAGAAGTCCCGATGCAAGACAGTCGTCGCGGCCTGCAGCAGCCGAACGCACAGACTATCAGCATGACAACCAGAGGCCGGATTACCGTTCGAAGCTGACGGATTCCTACCCAGAGGCCGTCGAAGACGAATGGGAAATTGAGAAGAAAGGTGTCATGATTGTTCTACTTGTTAATTGAGACCGTCTGTGCAATAAGCACATGATGTCATGATAATATATTCTCGATTTTTACTTTGGAGCCCTGTTACCTTGAATTGTGGAATTTCAATTTCTAATGATACTTGCAACTATGTAAACGTACTGTGTATTATTGTATACTTATATAAAGTCCCTTTTTTCTATTCCTGAAAATGACCAACACCTGCATGTCAGGTTGTATACAATAACGCTTCGTATTTATATAGCGCGACGAAAACAATAATAACTGGAATCGTTGGATGTGCTCTTACGTCGTATTAATTCACGCGAAAAACATGCAATTATTTTCTACTAGTTCGTAACGGTATCGTATGTACTCTTGCCAGGGTTCGACAGGAATCAGCCTAATCGCAGAGGAAACCGAAGGCGTAATAATTCCAAACCAGAGACGATAGACTCGTGGGATTACCCAGAGGTTGCTCACCAACAACAGCAACACTCGGAGCAGCAGCAGCAGCAGCAGCAGCAGCAGCAACACTTGCAGCAGCAGCAGCACCACAAGCAGCAGCAACAACAACAACAGCAGCCGCAACGCAAGCAGCAGCAACACTACAAGCAGCAACAACAGCTACAGCGCGGGCGTGGACATTACCCGCCTAGACTGAGTTACACACCGGCTCAATGTGGCAGGCGAGTAGTACATGTACTCGATAGAGAAAATATTAAGCTGGTAGCATGTAGTCGAATATTCATATTGCAACTGCGCGTAACAGCATTTTAATGGTAAAAGAGAGAAAGCAATAGAAGTCCAACAACCATGTCCACTGCTTCAAAATTCTGAACAAATGTGATTAGTGCTAAATGCATGGTTACAATACAAGGTCGATACACCGAACAGATACGGTTATCTACGTTGTCGGTACGTTGTGTGTACTAATTGTCGGCGCAAATATAAAAGACACGAATAAAACAAATATGTTAACAAATTTAGTGTAGTTGAACTACTACGCACAAGGTGATGCGTGGGACCACAGCTGCCAGACTGTGAAAATTTAGCTGTGGATTACAGGTCGGCAGGGAGGCAAGGGCAGAGCACGAGGCAGGAAGAATTGGGAAGCCCGTTCTCTCATAAGAACAACGCGAGATCATCATCCTACCAACCGAGAGAAAACTCGCATTCTAGCGAAAACAAGTAAGTGTGATTCAGAGGCATTAGTTGTTAGTGTGATTCGGGTTTAGATTAGTTTGCTTCCTTTATAGTTTATAGTACCGGTATATATATATATATGTGTGTGTGTGTGTGTGTGTGTGTGTGTGTGTGTGTGTGTGTGTGT